AGATAGGTGCACAAAGACAAACCCTTGTGAAGGATGTGGCAACCTTTAGAGAGGCACATTTTCTTAGCTTGTTTTTGTTAGGACTTGGTGTAGGGACTTGAGGGGATTTTGGCATTGATGATGTTTTCCATATACTGGAATTAGCCGCGGGAATTTCTGTGGATTTGGACATACTTTTCCATAGGCTAGTCACCTCCATTGCTCTTTGATACCAAGGCTTCCTGCAACTTGAAAAAAGTTCGTTAAAGACCTGTAACAAAGTTAACCTAAACATGCCTGTGCCAACTAACAACAATTTCCAAATTTAGGCTCACTATTGAAAAAGCTAAAAAGCAGGTCAGCCAAAGAATTGACTTTCCTACCTACGCGTGAATGATGTTGTTTTGGGGTTAGTCAAATTCATGACATCATTAAGATTGAAGGACTTTTATTTGCAGAAGTTAAACTTGGTCTACACAAGGTTGAACCAACCTAACATGATGACCCGGTGCACCACGTTTTTCACTAATCCAGGACAAGAGTTAAGCCTAGTTTAAGGCCTTAGAAGGAATAATGTGAGCATTTTCTCTACAACTAACCATCAAAAACCAGAAGTCCATATACTCTCCTAGACTGTATAGATGATCACAGATTTTATAACAACATTCATTAGCAAGCAAAATAGAATAGAGTGAGTATGTATATATATGTATATATATGATGACAGAAAGCAAAGTAAGTTCATCAGATAAGATGATTAAATTCTTAACAAGGTGTGTTGAAGTGTGACAGTGATTAAGGATACATAGCATACCTTGAGTTTGAATCGGTCTTTGGATCTTGCATGAACAAAGAAAACTGAAAGTATGAGAGAGTTGGAGGAAGGGAGCAAAGTATTTTCATTTGTGTAGAGAGTGAAGAAGAAGAAGAAGAAGAGGGTTTTGGTGAAGTTTGTGAGTCTACTAAGATGGGGTTGGCAACGTGGTTCTTTCCTTTTCTCCCATTCTTTATTGTAACACAACCCCTTTCTTTTGCTTTGGCTGCCATGATGCCTTGTGATTCTGAGTGTGAGAAAGAGATTTTGAAATTTCAAAGCAAAGTAAAAATGTTACTACTTTTAATGTAATTACCAAGGTGGCCCCTGGGACTTCAAAAAGGAAAGGATACCCTTATTTAATTCATTACTTTCTGGAGCCTTAATCATATTTTGCCCCTAATCTTATATGATTGCTGGGAAGAGGAGATCAGTGAGGCAATTAATTGGTGTATGACATGCTTGGCCTGCCTTTATCACAGAAAAATTATGGGCTGCTAAACCTCAACTCTGTTCACTTCTTCACTCTAACAAACTCTCAAATCATTCTTCATATAATATAATTAAGGTCATCATAAGTGGACCATCATTCCTTAACCAAAGTCTAATTATGTAAAGTTACTTCATTTCGTCTTAAGAATTTCTTTCAAAAATGTTCTCTACATGTTTTAATATATTTTTTACATATATTAAGAACAACAATACACAAATCACTCTTTCATAAATCCATTTTTATAAGAACAATGAATTAAATAGTTAAAATGGTAGACAAACATCCTAGATAAAGAAGTAAATGAAATTTGATAAAATTCTCGTTTTAAAGAACCATAGGAGAATTTAAGTAAATGTTTCTCATTTTTAATATGTTACAAAAAACTAACTTAAACATGAGTTTTATTTATTTTTTAAATGAGGAGATGACGAAATCTCCACCAAATATACAATAATATTATAGAATATATATGTAAATATAATTGATTTTTCACCGTTTCAAAGCATTTAATTGTGAATTTGGGTAGAGATTTTCTATTTTATTTTTTTAATCAATGAAATAAGATTTGAACTTTGAATTTGGTGATAGTAAAAAAGAAATTTAATATAATAAGTTAGTGGATCATGATTAAACTCTTATATTAATCACTAAATGTTGGTCGATAGTGTGATACTTGCACACGCTTAAGAGATAATTTAATAGCAAGAATGTGTTACATGGGTTTCACGTATAATTTCCCTAGCTGGCATCACTCATTATTCCAACATGTTGAGATTCAAGACAAGGAATTATAACATGGATCTCTTTTTGCAAATGGGTTCATAAATTTAGTCAACCTTTGGTATTCATTACAATTCTTCTGTCTGGCACAACTTAAATTTTTTTAGCATACATAAAAATTATTGTTGTGAAAGAAAAAAATCACATTTTTATATACAACTAATTAATAACTGATGATATGAATAGGAATGTGATTTATATGTCTTAACAACTCCTTTGGAGAGAAGGGTGAACAGAAAGTTGCAGGTATTTGCAATTAATTCCTTGCCTCAACAAATCTATCCTCCTCCTATCACTATCAAATTTCTTCCAATTCAAAGTGTATCTAAAAATGGAGCCATGATTTCTTTTCATGTGGACATCACCATTTGAAAACGCTCCGTGTCATGCACACACTGAAGGACCCATATAATTCTAACAACTCTGAACTTGTGTTGTGCAATTATTACACAAGCTCCTTCACCTTTTCTGTTTACGATCATAATGGGGACGTTTCAAGAAAGGTTTATTTTCTTTGCTTCCCCCAAAAATAGTGTGTTATTAGTTCTTCACTCATACTTCAATTACTACCCTTAACCCTACTTATCAATCACTCATGCAATGCAAGTCTTAAATTTCATAACAGATAACCTTTTTTTACAGTATAATAAAAACCATGTAAGTTAATTTAAAAACTCTAAAATCCAATATGATTACAATTATTTTGCCACTTGAAGAATAAAAGTGTCAATTTTTTTTAAAGGTGTTGCAGTGCCACGTATTTCTATCCCCAAACTCCAAAAGGCTGCAACAAAGAGAAAAAAAGACATTATGATTGGATTTGTTGGTTGGCATCTTGGCACTAATTGTTCAACAAAGATTGTTAATTGGTCAAAGGGAAATTCCTAAACATGCAACTTCTCATGAAAATGCTAATGTTTTCAGCTTAATTAAGTTCATACTGAGAATTTAAATATCAAATTTTCTACCCTTCATTCAGAATTTCATATTAAGGTATACCTAAAAAAAACCTTATCATATATTCTAACTATTTAATTAGCCTATAACCTAAATAATAATAATAATAATATTATTATTATTAATTGTGCGAGTGGGAGGGGTCAAAAAGAAGAAGTGGTTTCAGACATCTTTTGCTTTTCTGTACATTGTAGACCATGGAAATGATTTTGTTCACTTAGGATTGGAACAAAGACCTTCCAATTTAAAGCACAAAGAGATGCTGCAACTGCGACTTTACGGAGTTTTAGGTCTAGTAATTAATATCTATTTATCAAACCACTTACTTTCAATCAGTAGAACAATAAAATTGAAGACAAATATCAGAAAATTTCCCCACCTTGTGAATGTGAAATAGTGTTGGACTAACACACATTCTTTAATATCTCTTTTATTCACTTTCTTGTTTTCATTGCATTCCAGTGTTCTCTTGTTTTTGTAATTTACTTTCTTATCATTTGCATTCTTTACAAGTTTTGATCTTTTCTATTACTTCTTCTATAGATACTTTCAGGAACAATCACAATTTCACATTACTAAAGAATCTTTTTTTTTTTCCTTCTTATCTATCTTATTTTAGAAATATACTTAAGTGGTTGGTTGTACATATTTATAAACTTTTATATCCATCTTATTTTTTTCTCATGTCTCTCATGTTTTTCGTATATATCATTTATTTTTCTTCTTTTTTATCTCTCTCTCTTCTTTAAAAATATATATTTAAGTAATATATACATCAACTTTCTTATGCATTTTTATTTTATTTTATATTTTTCATATCATTTATTACATTTACCATTTTATATGTATATTTTTCTCATATATATATATATATATATATATATATATATATATATTAATGATCACATTTTTTATAATTCAAAATATTATTTTAAAATTTATTTTCTTTTTCTATTCTTTAAATATATCCAACTTTTATTTTTCTCATATTTTTACTAATTTTTAATTACATAAATATAATAATGAATTTTTCATTTGTGTGTAAGAATAGAGGATCAAATTTAACTAAATTTAACAAGGACCATGCATCTGGGAGATTATAGAATCTGGTAACTTGATCATGCAAAACTAAAATCAAATGCATTAGTTGGCGACCACTGCAAAGCAAAGATATCATGATGTGTGTGCATGGCATATTCACGTGCAATCTCTGCTTTCTTTTTTCAATGTCTCTTATTCTCTCATTCATTCTGATCTCTCATCAAACCGACACTCACCAACCTCACTTCAGGAATATCTCAAGGACAAGACATTCAACACCAATCAAATCTACATTTATCTGTTCTTCTTAGAAGCACTTCAATTCAAGATGGCTCTGGCTGAAATAGAAAAAACATTAAAATACACTTGTGGATTTTATATGACCTTCATTTTCAATTTAATATGAATTTATGAAAGCATATGAATTAAATAAGAAGTAATTTTTTATTGTACCAGCAACAATCTGTGAACCAAATCAAAAACAATTAAGGAGAATTTAGTTAGTGTAAGAGTAACCTTCTCTCATAAATTTTCATATTGAAGAGTCTTTTAACAAAACAAATGAGATTATTGTAAGGCTTACCTTGCATCATGTGACAACCTAGTCACACACAACAACAGATTAGAATTGTTGCACCATCGCTTCCTCTTCCATCAAATTATAAACAAAGGGTACATGTGAATACTAAAATGAATTTTCTTTTCATATATTAATCAGATTTAATAAAAGTGTTCTCCCATCCAAACCCAAATTGAAAATGGGTCTGAAGTATATATAAAACCCGAAAATCAGAATTTAACTAGTTCCTTCTTCACCAGAAATGACTCTATGACAGTTATTCACTGTAAGTCCTATAAAGTATAACATTGGTCAACTTACGAGGGAGAAAAAACCAGCCATAAATCATGTAGTCACTTCAGATAGAGAAGTCTTGCTCACTGGTTCGCAGATTCTCCTGAGCATTTCTTGCTCCAACCACCTGAACACGCTTTGCGCTCCCCACGTTTTCTTTTGTTCTTGGGAATGCGCACATCACTATACATACAGGGCTTCAGGGTTGATTGATCTAGTGGCACTGTAGTGTTTGTTGCTGTATTAATGTCTGACATGGGGATAGAAACAAGATTCAGATTTTCTTCCCCTTCACATTTCTCCCAGTTCTGAAGCCTTTCCATGGGATGGTGACTGGCACTTTTCAAGGTGTGCTCATCTGTTTCAGCTACCTCATGTATCAAGACATTGTCAACCATCTGAGAATGTCAAAGGTTAATGTCTCAAACTTCCAAGTTTAGGGAATTAGCAATGGCATTATCTCAAACAACACCTTCTATAGGTATGATGTTTGATACAGACTCATTGCCAAAAGGAATCAGAATATAATAATATTTCAAAAGAAATGTCAAAAAAGCATTAGTGCACAGTTATATGTTGGATGGTTATACTACATGCATAAAAACCATGAGATCTAAATCACAGAAAATTGTTTAGCAAATGAACAATACAGATTTGTGTACACCAAAAGGTGAAAATGAAGGGTGCTTTTATCGAATTTCACATAAAACTTTTTCTCACATTTTACCTAGCAGTATAAAGATCTAAATATGTTGCAGTTCATTGCATAACACACTTTTCTACCCATCATCTGGATTGGAAAGGACTTGGCAGAATTATAGGAATAACTAAAACTATGTTTACATTGTTTGAGGAACTTACATCTTCACACGAGTCCCCAACCAAGGCCGAATGAAAGGTGACATCAGCAGCAGACAATAAGCCCACAGTACTCTCAATTATATCGGGAACCATTGGAACTTCTCCATAACTTGAAACGGCACTATGCATAACAAAATCTCCAATATCAAAGTCAACTCCATGCTGAATTGAATTATAAATAACCCCGACAGACGCTGTATCTCCATTCCCTGCAGAGATTGTAGGGCTTTGGGCGGAGCTAGTCTGCACATCACCATGAGGAAGAAGGCTCAAATTTTCCGATGAAGAAAACTTTGAAGCATTTTTAGACATGATTGTATCAACTTCACTCTTCAGCTTGCGGACCCTAGCATGTAGATTGTCTATTGACCAAAGGAGCTGCTCTAGTGAAGCATCAGTTTCGCTGAAATCCAAGAAAGGTTGAACTTCCCCAATGCCTAACCTGTCTGTTGAATCAGCATGTGACTCTGTGATCACTATACCAAAGGAGAGTATAAAAGCATTAGTCATGAAGCAGATGCAAGTCAAAATGTGATTATGAGGCAAATAAAAGGTAGACTAGAACTGCCTACAATGAATACAATGAAAGATATCTCTACAAACACAAACCACTAACATGCTAATGCTGTTGAATAAAACAGTTTTTCATTTGTATCCTTCTCTCTTACGGGATAAAAATACAAGAGATGCTAATGGCATCACTATTTAACATTGGGCAGCAGCAACACATTAGGTAACATTACAAAAGCAAATTTTCTAACCTGGATTACCAAAATCATCAGCCAAACCACCATCATGATCCGACTTCTTACTCTCTACAATACAAGTAAAGGAAAGAGTCACATTTTTCTAAAGCAAGGACAGGTTTTGGTAAACAATGAAAAAGGATAACCAAATGAGGTACCAAGATAAATGAGTAGTACCAAGATAGGAGAAAATATAATGATGTGATGTATAGGATCCAATTTCAGTTGTATCTTCAACTTTCTTCCTTTTTCTTCTCTTTTTGGCCTTATTTCTGCGCTGTTCTCCCAAAAAAGGCAATGCCTTGGAACCAAACTCTTCTAAGGAAAATTGGTCAGGTGCTGTATGTTTACCCTTTTCATATTCTGCAAGCTCTTTACTATATTTTAATGCTAGTGAATCAATTTCTTTAATTCTTAGTTCTGTCCATTTGCAACGCCACGTTAGAGGTCGTACAAAGTTTCTCCAATGATCTGTCAACTTCCTCTTCCTACGGTTACACAGCAAATATGTTCATTCGCTTCAACAATAAACACCAACTAACCAGTATTACCACATTCCCACTGTCAATTAATCATTATGATGCGTGCATTGGTCATTAGTGATCTCTAAAGAAGAGATTTATGATGACAGATCACACAAACAATGGTGATAGGTTTTCCAATACCAATCTTCACAAGATGCAGGAGCACAAATTCTTCCACCAAACGTTATTAATAGAACTATAGGAGATGAAAAATTATCTGGATTTAATAACATAAGCGAAGTGCATTCAATATCTAAGGAGTTACATAGAGGCAAAGTGGGAAAAAAACCTATTATCTTGTTGAAACATCAAATCAACACACTAACACAAAATATACGACTGAGATTGTCACCTTTAAATTCCATACCTTTTAACCTCTTTTAATAACCATTACCAAAGTAGTGCGCAGATACGTTAAGATTTTTAATTGTTAAACACCCACTAGCATTTGAACCTTTAGTTCATAATATGGATTTTATGTGTAACTTTAATCAAATTTCAACAATTTAATATGACCTGGGTTCTTTAGATATTGATAGTAAGTCTATGTCCAAGAAAAAGAATTTAAAATTTACTGATTTGAAATAAAAATCACCTCATTGGAAATGCAGAACCATCATAAGCATCTGTTAAGCCACTATCACCCAAGAACTCAGACACCACTTCAGCATCACCCAATCTAGAACCATTTTCAGTATCAGACGTAGTATCAGCAAACGAACTTGAATAGTCAGTTGCATCAGGGTCCTCAATTTTGTTGGACACAAAATCACCCTTGTTTATCCAACTCACGATATCGACTTCTGTGTCCTCAAAGACTTTGGTACTGTTAATTTGGTCATCTAGAAAGGGCTCCACCTTAATGACGGGCTTCTCACAGTGACCCATGTTGCTCAAACCCTTCTATTTCACCTTCTTTGCAACTTATAAATTGGATTTTGGTTCACTCCTTTTATAATTATATAGGAATGGGTGAGTAGGGACATCAGGTTGTCTTTCACAAACGTAGCTACATTTAAAGTTTTCCTGGTCAGATTTAGAATGTTAAAATCCATGAGTAAATTCAACGAATAGAAAATCAACTCATTACATGTATTGTTGAAATTGATTTATAGAAAGTAACTAAAAAATAAAACAGCAGCTTCTACCACAAAAAAGAAGTAGAGGTTAATTAAGAAGTTATAGGGTTCTAGCCCCTCCATAGTTTCCTAAGCACGTAGCTCTAGTAAGGAAGTGTATATAGAACGAATTTCCTCCCATAATAGTAAGGAATACCAGAGAGCATCATTTCAAGTTCAGAATGTATGTGTGCGTACATAAAAACAGATCATAGAACAAAGTAACAAATAAAATGGGGATAAAACAAATTATTAAACAGTAGCATTCAAACACACATTGCGATAATTCAAAACACAAAGTCAGATGCGCCAAAACATATTTATGATATACTCTAATTAAAAAAAAAAAAAAAAAAAAACTCAAATTCAATTTAAACTTAACACATTTAAAAGACGAGACTTAAATGAAGTCATAAAGCTCATATAATCTTTTCCACCAATAATAGGTTAATTACTCTCACTTTTCAAACCATAAATTCTTTCAAAAGATTTAGTATTTAAATAAACACCCACTTACTCACTCAGTCAGAGACACGCACACAATTATGTAACTTTCAACTTCCAGTTGAAATTTTAAATTGATTTTCATGCCTCTGTAAATAAAAGGGAGGGGGAAAACCTGCAAGAAGAAGTTACTTACACACCACAAAGTGAGCAAGGATGTAAAATACTCAAATCAACAACAGAAACAATTCACCATAAATTTAAGTACAGCATACCATTATCTAAAACCTCACCACCATTCATTACACATAATTCACTCAATGCGCACCGAAATTGAAGAAACGAAGCAACGCCACGGCAATTGCAACACACAGAGACTCAGAAAAGCGCAAACATCAACACCAAACAAGTTCAGTAGAAGTACAGTAACAGGTCCGTGACGGGAAAAGTAACCAAAAGAGTGTAGAAATGAAGGTTGGATGGAAGTTGAAGAAGCGAAAGTGGACGTGCATGTGTTGAGAGAAGTGTGAAGGGTGAAAGTGAGGGAGTGAGAGAGTACCGAAAGTGTGGAAAGGGATTGAGAATGCCGGAGTTGGCGGCGTGGAGGAGCAACCAACAACAGAGTGAGTAGTAGCAGCAGCAGTTAACGTTATAAACCTAGGAAGAGCGGAAAGGAAACGCAGGTTGCCGCTATTTATATATTGGAACTTGCTGTTCCTTGTCTTCACACGTGTCCGCCACTACCCTAACATGGCACGCTTTTATTACCTGCTCTTCTTCTCTTTTATTTTATTTTTAATTTTTAATTTTTTACATACTAAAGTTTAAATAAATTAAAATGAAATTTTTGAATTAAACGTACTTAGTTAAATTTAAGATAATAATAAAATAAAATTAATAGATAATATGTCCTGTAGTAGACATGAACTTTTTCATGGTGGTTTGATTAAGTATAATCAAATTATCCACTAAAAACAAAAAACTTTATGGTATAAAATTGAGATTTAATGCTATTAATACAGTGATTAAACTGTTAAAATTTAATTTCTCAATGTTTGGAATTACATGTTTTAAAATATTTAAAATAGTTATTGAAAACAAAATAACTATCATTTGGAATGCAGAGAGTATAATAGTTATAATAATATAAGTATATTTAGATCTCCACTTCTTAGTATAATTAATTTATAATATATGAATAAATTATTATTTTTGTCGAATTTTTGTGAAAATTATTGATGCACATCTGATGTATTTTAATGTCTAATATTCAATTAACTAAAAAATAACTTTTAAGATGTAATAATAATAATAATAATATTATTATTATTATTATTATTATTATTATATCTTCCCGTTAATAAAACAAAATTATTTCGTATTCATGACTAATTTAAGATTTTGTGTTTTTAACCACCCTCTTCCTTCATCTTAAAGTTAAAACTAACTTTCTAATTTTTTCTCAATAATTTTTTTCACCCCTCCTTATCTAAAAAAGAATGTAATTTTTTTAAAATTTAAAAACTTATTATTTATTTTCTTCATTCATATTTTTTTAATAATTTATTAATTTAAAACAATGATTAATTAAATCTTGAAATAAATTATTGTAAGAAACTTACTTTGATATTTATTCCTAAAACAAAGTAAATATTTTATCAAATTAATTTAAATTATATTTAATAATAATATGATTGAAACAAACAATAAAAAAATCTCTCTTCAAATAAAGTCTTTTGAATTATTATATATTTAATTACGTATTCATCAAATCATTATTTTCATAAAAATGTTTTAAAATAACCAATTAAAAAATAAATTTAAAAATAAGTATTAATATAATACTGATCTATATATTTATATTATTAAAATAAGCTTTGCGAACTTAATACTGACATGTGGATGTAATTGAATTTAGTAGGTATTAATTGTATTTAATGTCAAATTAAATTGCTCACATGTGTTGTCTACAAATAACCATCCTAGAAATCGTTACTAAACAAGTAAATAATGACATCTATTTTACATTAAATTATTGTAATTGTAACATAGATTAAAATTTCGGTTCACTAACTGAACTTCAAAATATAGTAACATAATTTATTTATATATTATACATATGTAAAAGTAGCTCCCTCGAAACTATCCCACTGAACTATCCTGTCGTCCGAAGTAGTCACATCTCCATCTCTCAAGTCCTGATCTGCTCCCACATGAAAGTGATCATCGCAGTCCCATCCACATGGAAAAATAGGGGTAAATATTAAATCATTCGATATAATAAAACAAATATAGAAGTAATAATTATATATTATGATAAATTACGAAATTATCAACACACTAAGACACCTTCCGGAAGTATACTCTAACTATGCCTGAACTCAGAGACTATCATCTGTGGGCACATTGTGATCGGTACCCGCAGTACCATTTTGACCACCCTCCACACACAGTAGGATTATTGGCGCCCTTCATCACTCATACTGGAGTACCCCTCTGAGTGCACCACCAGTCATCCCCCCATCGACTTCTCACCACCTGATCTCGTAGTCTACCTGACCCGACCAATCAGTGAAGTTTGGGACCTCATTCAGAATCCTCTGACATAGTTATTACACTAATGTACTCTGTACTACCCCGGGTACCATTCAAACATAACAAAAATTATTCACATTTGCCGGATTCTGGACCACCTGTCCTCACGGCTCATTCGGGTCAATAAAAATAGTATTTGACTAATTCTGGCACCAACCCTCCGGCTCAGTCTAACTAATATATAACATCTCAGGACTGATTCTGGGCATCAGCCCTCAGGCTCAGTCTGACCACACACGTCACAACACACTTACTTTCATTCTCTCTCTCTCTCTCTTTATATATATATATATATATATATATATATATATATATATATATATATATTTTTTTTTTTTTTTCAAAATAATTTCGAAATCATTTCCAAAATCATTTCCAAAACTATTTCCGAAACTATTTTCGAAATCATTTCCGAAATCATTAAATTACTATTTTGCTCTTAATCTTTTCTTAAAATCCCGTGTATGTCCCTAAATGACTATTTTACCCTTGGACATTTTTGAAAATTCCTTCCATGTCCCGAAAATGACTATTTTGCCCTTGGATATTTTCAAAAATTCCTTCCATGTCCCAAAAATGACTATTTTACCCTTGAACAATTTCAAAAATTCCATTTATGTCACATTGTGCAGATTTGACAAATGAAGTGACAACGCTAATTGATATGCCACTGGACCTACCTTCTTCAAAATTTGATATGGGCCAATAAACTTGGGAGTCAACTTCTTAGATTTAATTGCTCTTCCTACTCCAGTAGTAGGTCTGATTCTCAAAAATACATGCTCTCCCCCCTCAAATTCCAAAGGTCTCCTTCTCTAGTCCGCATATGATTTTTGTTTACTCATAGTGACTCTCAACTTCTCTTGTACCTCCCGGACCTTCTCTGTAGTCTGCTGGAGTAGCTCAGGTCCGATCAACACTTTATCCTCATCCTGATACCAACATAAAGGTGTTTGACACCTCCTCCCATAAAGAGCCTCATATGGTGTCATTCCAATACTGGCATGATAGCTGTTATTATACGTGAACTCTATTAATGGAAGGATATCATCCCAACTTCCTATATTATCCAACACACACGACCTTAACAAGTCTTCTAGTGATTGGATGGTCCTCTCTGACTGTCCATCTGTTTGGGGGTGATAGGCTGAACTCAACCTAAGTCGGGTACCTAATGTCTCTTGTAAAGTCTGCCAGAATCTTGAAGTAAATTGAGGATCCCTATTTGAGATAATGCTAGATGGTATCCCATGTAATCGAACAATCTCGCGAATATATAGTTGTTCCAGCTTAGCCATAGATATCCTCAGATTTATAGGGAGGAAATGTGCACTCTTCGTCAATCTGTCCACTATCACCCAGATCGAATTGTGCCCCTGAATTGTCTGTGGTAAATGGGTAACAAAATCCATGGTAATGCTATCTCACTTCCACTCAGGTATCTCCATTTGCTGTAGCATTCCTCCCGGCCTCTGGTGTTCCACCTTTGCTTTCTGACAAGTCAAACAAGCAGCCACATACTCTACAATATCTCTCCTCATACCAGACCACCAATAAACCTTCTTCAGATCCTGATACATCTTAGTCATACCAGGGTGTAAACTCAAACGACTCCGATGAACTTCATCTAGTATTACTCTCTTCAATTCCTGGTCAACAGGAATACAAATCTTTCCTCTGAATCTCAGAATATTATCCTCACCCATCTTGTAGTCAATGGTCTGCTCGGAT